GGGGTGTTTAATTCCCGCCCACGTGTAGAAATAGAATATTCAAGCTGTTTATTCATTTTTCCACCCATAAACGAAAAACGAACATTTAAGCAGAATTTTAGTTTTTCCTTTTTTGGAAAAAAAACAATAAAACGAAAAAGGAGCCGTTTTCTCATTTTTCTACTTTCATTATTAAATCAAAAAACGAATGATCGAATGATACACGGATTCTACTCCACCAAGCTACTGTTATAAGCATGAGCCCCGTGCGCGGCGTGAACTGCTGTGCACTCGCACTCGCAATGCAAGATTTTCATAAAATATAATAACTTGCCATTTCGGTTTGTTTCTCACTAAACCCTCAGTATACCTTCAGAATGCTTGGAATATACGCCAGGAGATGCATAGCATTATTTTACGACAAATATGAATCCGATTTTTAAAGCAGTTTAAATTAATATTGAGTACTGATTGATGTTCACTTGGATTTTTAGGGAAATAACTTAATACTCTGTCATTTATAGGCTTTAATTGATTTTTCCGTACATTTCTGCCATATGTACATTGACTGACGGTCACCACTGATAAGCTACCACTAAATATTGTAGAAACGTAATTTGCTGTAAAGTTGCTTTGCTGTCGTGAAAAGCGCTGTACAAATAAACTTTAATTGAATTGAATTGAATAAATTAAAGGTGATCAGCAATCTAGACCAGCCTCAACTGGCTAAAAAACATGAGAACCAGATCAGGTTTCTGCTATATCAAGACAGCTGTCCTAACAAAAAGTGTTAGAGTTGAGAATGAATAATTTATTATAATTCAGATCAATTAATTTACAAAAATAAATAAAAAAGAAAACAGGGGGGGGGGGCGGTTAATGTTTTACCTAAGCTTGCTATTGGAATTGAATGTGATGAGAAAGACAGACTTAAAGAAAGACTGGTTGCCACTAAATAATACAAATAAACAATTAAATGAATAAAAAATATAGATTGTCACCGGTTACAACCAGCATAACCCTTTGTTAAAGCCTTAAAGCTACATTATAAATACATAAACACAGCAAAGACAAATGCTACTTTGAACTTTAACATTACATACATTTAGTATATAGCTTTAATAATTTACTGTTATTATGTCAAGTTTCAGATGCTTGTGAGGAGGGTTAGGAAAGATATTTCTGTGGCGAGTGAAGTTGCTGTCTATGTACATTCTAAATCAGTTGCATTATAAGGTTAAAGGTTAAATTAAAGATTCTGCCTCTTGTGAATGACCCCTAATGAATACATTACAGTTGCTTCATTAATTATATTGAAAACACCACTAATATAAATGCAGGTACGGATGTGTGGAAACATTGGAAAACAACCAAAAATGTAATTTGTTCATACATGGACGTATAATAATGTTCATGCTGTTTCTTATGCATTTTTGCCACAGGGCAGGCAAGGGCATACTGGGTAACCTGTGTTGACCCTAAAGAGCGCAGTGGTGTATAAAGACAGACAGAGAGAATCCGACAGAGATGGTAAGTGGGGAGGGGGATGGCTGTTGCCATTTCTCATTCAGCTCACGACCACATAACACTATCCTGTGTGCTGCTGGAAGTAGGTCAGTGGAGGAGAGAGGGAGGAGCATTTCCTAACACACACTGCTCAAATGGTTTCTATATCTTGCATTACTTTTTCTCGCTTGTGTGATTTTTCTCGCAGAATTTCTGCAAAATCATACGTTTTCCCTTTCCATTTCTAGCTTTTCTTCTCAATGACATGCCAACAGAAACCTCCATATTCCAACTGGTGGATTTGAGACTCTGGGGAAGTTGTGCCACCCCTAGTTTCTAGCCAACCATAAACAAAATTGGTAATGTGACCACAGATATTTTAAGAGTAATCCATTTTACTCTGATGAAGAGAGGCCCATGAAATAATTACATTTAAGTAAAAAAAAAAAACATGCAGCACAATAAGTTTTTTTATGTTTAAGGACTCATGCTAT